GGGGGGGGGGTGAAAAATGGCAATAAATACTTATCTATAAAAAATTACTTTAAATGCAAGTGGATTAAATGTTCCAATCAAAAGGCATATGGTGACTGCATGGATAATAAAACAAGAACCTTACAATGCTGTCTACAAGAGTCTCATTTTAGATCAAAAGACACACACAAGCTGAAAATAAAGGGATAGAAAAAGTTATTTCATACTAACCTGTCAGTTCCTTAAAATTTTGGGAACTCTTTTTAACCAATGGTCTTACACATGTAAGTTCCACTTACACTTTCATATTGTCAATCACCACCACCCTCATTATCTGCCATTTCTGTTCATTTAACAGGCCTTCACTGAAATATCAGTTCTTCAAGGAAGCCTTTCCTGACTTTCCTAGACTAAATTTTACCTTTCTGCTATATGGTCTCACAGTTCACAAAACCCTTATCTTTAGTGTAACCACACAATTTACTATCCAAATGCTATTTTAAGAATGAATGGGGAGCTATTAATTACACTGACTCTGAGACAACAAGCAACATTATTGTCACTCTATATTATCAGTTTATCTTTCCTGCTTAAGAGTTTCATAAGGAGAAAGTATAGGTCCGTCTCTATTCCCCCAACACTTCGTTCTATGCTTACAGAGTAAGAGGTGTGCTCTCACTCACTCTCAAAGAATGGCATGAATTATGCAAATTAATGTGAAAAAGGGAAAACTCAAACAGACAAAATGAATTAACCAATCCTGTTACTTTTCCACCTCTATATCATATCTTTGACCAAGGCTTCTTATCTCATGCCTCACCACTCACCCCACCCCTCATCAGAATATAAACTTCATGGGAGCAGAGAATGTCTGTTTTCTTAAATGCCATTTCCCCTTGCCTTGCCTGTCTCTATCTGAAAGTCAAGCCACATAACCCTTGAAACCTTCCCAGATAGTCCCAGTAAAACATAGTCTCTCCTTCCTCTGCACACAGTATTTTATATCTTTCTATAATACTTTCTATACACACTTTGCTCTTGTGCTAGAATTATGTCTTATCATGTCTCATTTTTCTTAGTATACCCCACAACATCCAAGCATAATGCCTGACACAGTAGCTACAGAATACCTGTCAAATTACACTGGTAAAATGACAGTATTATACACAATTACAGGTATATGTTTAGAAACCTGATGCTATGCTAATTTTCTAGAGAACTTCCCATTTATGTATTCGTCCCTAGCCCAGGCCATTACCATTTCACAAACTAGACTACTGCAACTCCATCTACTCAGCACCGAGGGGATTCAGAACAAGCCACCGTAGAATGTGCCCATTTGGTTTGTGAATTATTTTGATCTGAAGGCAATAAAGACCCAGCAGAGTCAAGAAAAGCTTTTTACATCCTCCTAACTGCCTAAAGGAAATTAGAAAGGTGGCCTGTACCAGTAAGAGAATTATTATCAGAGATAACTTTATATTCGAGAGACTAATCTGCAGGGCAAAGCAAATATCTGTTTACCAAACATTTGCTCTTCTCAACTTCCTGTGAATTGTCTTCCTCCCTTTTGAAGCCCCAGGCCCTATCCGTATCCCTCTTCTCAGCCTCAACTGCTTGGCTGCTTGTGAGTCTCATATTTTTGTGGTGCTCCTATATGTACATACCTAATTAAATTTGTTTCCTCCTATTAACTCTGTCTTTTATTACAGGGGATTTAGAACAAATTTATTTGACCAAATGTTTACTGTTTCCTTCATCTTATCTTATTCCCTCTGACCTAATTTATTCTGCAAACATTTACTGATATCTATTATAAGCTATGAAAATCACTAATGCTGGAGATATAAATAGCTGGAAATGTACAATGACAAAGCTGAAAGGTAAAGTTAATGTCTGGTGAAAGCCTAAATGTTTACTAAAAATATGTTACAATAAACAACTTAGGACACCAACTAGAGCTCCTTTTCCTCCTTCAATCTTGCAAATTAACTTTTAACCATGAATTTACAAGAATTATCTTACCAATAACACACACACTTAATGAGATTTTATGTGTAAAATAATTATTACATGGTTGGGAGAAGGAAAAGCCATTTTAAAGACAATTGGGAAAATTCAATGTAATTAGACTGTATGCAGTGAAAGAATAGTTTTGTTAACTAAAACCTGTCCTCAATGTTGCAGATGCCAGAGGAAACAGTCCAAAATTAAAACTCAAGGGACCTGGATTCAAGTCTCAGACAACAGACAACAGTTGTGCCCTAATTACAAAAACAAAAAAACAAAACACACACCTTTTATTTAATTCCTAAACTGCCCGCTTCACTCAGAGTTGTTAAGATCAAATAAAATAACGAATCTGAAAGTGCTCTGAAAAAATAGAAAATCCTATAGATAAAATATTACCTTCACTATGGTTTCACTTGCTATATTAAAAATGAACTTTTAAAATCTACATTTCTGACATAATAACCCTGTCACAAACTAAATAAAGAGCTTTTACCCGTTCTACAGATCGTGCTCTCTTCTTTGGCCGAGTAGGCAGTGCATCCTCCTTCGGATTGGTGTCTATTGCCCAATAGGACCCCTAAAGGTAAAGAAATAACTTATATTAACAGTATATCACAGCAACTCTGTATCATTAAAATGGATTGTTATAATCCTACGCTCCAAAAGCAAACATTTTGCAAATACAACAAAAGTAGCATGAGAGAAACACTAGTTTTGAACTGAGAAAAGTCAAGTTCATATGAGAAAAAAAGTCCATTTATAACTAAATTATTAAAGAGAAAAAAATTCAATCTGAAGAAGCCAAGTCCAAGAACTTCTGCCACAGCCAAATTAAAGAGAAATGATCAAATGAACACATTTTAAAATATGTTAATTCTTAATTGAACACATATGATAATTATAACAGCACATGACATTTGAGTCTAATAGAATTTTATGTATAAAGATACTATAGTTCCTGCACAGTGGGACCTCATAAATCTAAATGGTAAGTGAAACAAATTATAAAGACAAACTACTTGAACAAATTTTATGAAATAAGTACCTCCTGGGAAGCAATGGTCTGTACATAAATCTTAATGCTTATTCTGTCAAAATTTATTGTAACCATTTATCCTCTCTTACTTTTTGATACAAGTTCTCAAACCACTCATTCAAAAATACATATGAGCACCTACTGTGTTCCAGGTACTCAGAAAGTGTGACTCCCTCAAAAAATATTTTGAAAAGCATAGATTATAAAGTCTGCACATATACAGATGAGGAGACCAAAGCTCAGAAAGATAAAAGTGGTTTGCTCATCCAAGGATATGAGAGCCAGGACCTGAAAAAAGGTCTTAGTTCCTTTCTTCCTCAGTTATCCTGTCTACACACACTGAGAGAAAGAAAACATAAGGAAGGGGAAAAGGGAGGGAGATATGCATTTCAGAAATAGAAATACAATGCAGGTCCTAGTTTTAAAATAATCTCAGTGACAGGATTAAAGTTTATTCTTTGCCTGTATTACTTCATTAATCTTCCTAGGCTACTTTATCAGGCAATATTTGTCAATGAGGGAAAATACAGCTCTCATCTACCAATCCTCGCACTGTGTGCCTGATGTGACTTATCAGCTTATGCATCTGTGCCTGCCCTACATGCTGATCTCACTGCCTATAATATCCACTGCCTATAATATCCACCCTGACAAACTCATATTCCACCTTCAAAATTTAGATGTTATCTAAAGGAATTCATCACTCTCTCCTTCTGCAAGATATCTCTAGTTTTTATACATTTAGATCATGGATTTCACTTATTATTTAAAGGTCTGTATCTCTTCTAGGCTATGACTTCCTTAAGGGTAGAAACTCATTTCTATATTCACTGTGATAGACACAATGTCAGACACAGAGCAAGTAAGTATTTAATAAACATTTGTTGAGATGGATAGAAAAAAGTTGAACAAACTGCCAAGAATATCAGAGTATGATGCCTGGCTTTCCCAGATTCTAGTCTACTCAGGTACTTAAACTTAGCACGCAACCACTGCTGGGGCATTCTTTCATGTTATCTTTTCAAAGTAGTCACTGCATATCCCCTGATGAATCTACCAGCCGGATGCAAACTTGCCAAGAATCATGTAAAATGTAGATGCTACAGAAATTAAGCACTAAAAATGAAAATAATGATCTTGAGTAGGTTCAGTGGCAATTTCAAAATAAAGTAGGAATAAGTTTTACACTTGATTTTCATAAAAGTTGAAAATAAAGCATAAAGAGAAATACCAAAGCTCGACTAACAATAGTTTAAAAACCTCTATTCATGGAAATGATAGCAAGCCCAAATTTTCTATATCTTATATATAATACATATTATATTTAGTATATTCAAATTCCCCTGGTTTTGAAGGTATGTATACCAAAATGGTCAACATCTTTTGAATGCAACTAATTTCTCATCAACTGTCATGCAGGGAACTAAAACAAATATCTACCTTGTAAATATTGATTCTGAATTTCCAATTTCTAAAATATTCTACTTTATTATTACTTCTGGTTCTTTATCTTATATATTACTATCAAAAGGCAATACTGATTCCACATTTCAAATATATTATCTAATAGATTCTAGAATTTTATTACTCCTGGTTCATACTTTTGAAATTTTTGGGTCTCAGAATTTTGTTGAAGAATGGCCATCGTTGCTACATAATTGCAAAAAATATTTTCATATATGCTTTTATAAACACCAAATAGAATGAAGAATTCAATTAACTTTTTCATTTCAATAGCATCTATTTCCTTGCAAGCACTTTGTATACACATCAGACTTCCAGACTTGTCCACTTATGAATCACATCAAGTGATTTTTGGTGCACAAACATCAAAAAAGATGAAAAACATTATTCACATAATTTTCTAGGAAAAAAGTTGTAGTCATAAAATACTGCATGATGAAGACCATGCTGAATGACTAAATGGATGAGAACAGCATGCATTTTTTTGTCCTTAGAAATATATCATTAACACAGTATTCCTTTGGTTTGGGAGGATTAATCTAGGCTATCATCAACTCAATTTAAGCATCATAATTACAGTCTAGAGTGCTGCTGTCCAAATGTTCATCAACGGGGGCCAGGGATCAAATATGCAACCCAGATACATGCCCTTGATCAGAAATCGAACCCGAGGACCTTGTGAGCAACATTGGCCAGGGCTCAATTTTCACTTCTTTATCATTATGAGAAGAGAAAAATAATCTAAACTCTCAACTACGTTCAATGAAAGCTAAAAGAAAAAGAAAAACTTAAGATGTAATGCTCTGGGCAACACAATAAGAAAACGGAAGGACAACAGTGGTGATTTCTTTACTGCATTATCCCTTCTAAGTCATTCAATCATTCTTTTGTATTCTTGTTATTTTAGCATTTGGGCATAATGCAGAAAAACTGATGGGCACTCATGAAATAATTCTTAAGATAATGAAACCACTTCCAGATTTAGGAAAAATAAGATCACTAAAATACCATATTGCATGTTAGATTTATAAAAGAATTACATATGGTAATTGCAAGATAGAATAGTTTTATTCTAGTTTTTAAAATACTTAATTTTCTATTTGTTCTTTGGGGGAAAATCTAAGAAATATTTTATAAGTTATAAAATAATCATCTTTAGAAATCAGAACTGCTCAGAATTGACACTCAAAAACCTAACTGGGTCCAATGGGCCCTGATGGTGCACTGAGAGTTAAATACATATAAAATATTCCCTCCTCCAACATTCGACACATACTGTTTGTATTAATCTTACTCCTTCTCATCTCCGATGATTTCTATCAAAGAGCAAGCACACAAGTATTAGGCAAATCTGAAATTTTAAGGGTTGAAATTTTTAAATATAGCACAGCTTGTATTTAATTATTAAAGAGAGTTGTGTCTACAAAAGATATATAATTTGGGTAATTCTAAAGATTTATCCTTTCATTTAACATTTGCTGAATTTCTACTCTGCACAAGAAAAGGCAAATTAAAATTAAATAACAATAGCTAAAATATTTTAGAGAAGCTTATTATCAAAAATAAAATACAAGAACAAGCTATACTGGAACATAACCTAATTAACCCAACAACTGGGAAGTGACACACGCTGAATCATCCTAACTGGCTAAACTTCTCAGACTTTTGGGCAGCTACCAGAAAGGTAACAAGTCTTCTCTTAACAACAGTGCATCAAAGTTGACCACGTATGTGCTAGTCACAATGCTGGCACTAGGAATAGAAATAAAAAGGAAGTCTCAGTCTGAAGTGTGGTGAGAGACAGAAAAGATACCTACATGGTTAAGTACCACCACCTTCATGTCTCTACTCAAAATTCACTCTCTCAATGAATTTACCTTCCTTACTCTTTTGAAAATTGCAATCTACACCTCAATCCACTTTATCCTACTCTATTTTTTCTACAGCATTTATAATTGTCTCACATTCTACATAATCTATATATTTATTTTGTCTCCCGTAAAGCAATAAGTTCCTTGAAGGCTTTTTTTTTTTTCTGTTCTGTTTGCTGATATATTCCAAATGTCTAGAATAGCAACTGGCATGTAACAGGCAAGTAAGTTATCACCATCAAGTGCTAAGACAAGTGAGTTGAATCTTCAAGGATGATCATGCTCAGATATGATAGAAGAGAACAAAAACAATTTTAGGCAGAGAAAAATAGCTCCTGCTCAATAAGCACTTTTAATGTGACACTCATGGACTCCCAGAGGGTCTGTGGACAAGACTGCAGGGCTCCATAAACTTTAGTAAGAAGAAAATGATGAAATTCAGCCTTTCCATTATGAATGTAAGAGGAAACCACAGTTTAGCAATACCTAAAAATCAGTTTGTTTCCTATCACATTACTAGCTTTTTGTCTCAGAATGTCACTCTACTACTCATTATTTAGTCTACTTTTATTTAATGTTACCATATTAAATTCTGTTCAATTTTGTAATTTAATGTTACCAAGGAAGCATAGATTATTGTATCACGAACTTGTTATAGTATTTTTATAACTATTTTAATGTAACTGCTTATCTTTTAAATACCGTATGCTCTGGTTTAGGCCTTTAAAAATATTATTATTCTGAGAATGGGTTTCACAGACTTCAACAGCATTGCCAAATAAAGCCATGGCATAAACAAGTGCAAAAGTTCTGGTGCTAAAGTCATAGACATATGAGAGAGAATAAGACATCAAGAAAACTTTATCTGACTAAGTTAAAAAAAAAAGGACCTATAGAGAATTTAAAAATTCTTTTTTTCTTTTTTGCTTTACCTGAATGTTATTTCCTTCAATACTTTAGGTGGCATGCTGATTCTAAGTTTTCTTGTAATTAATTAATAAATCCTGAAAATTAAAAATGTATTACTGATACCAAACAATCCAAAGTTCAAATCTTAAGAGTCTTTACAGCACTTATTTTTTAACTTCTCTACAAGCTATCACAACTAGGCAGCAGTGAAAGAAGTTATGCTAATACACAATCTGTAATCATTTTTTATGTAGAAGCTTTATACAATGAAGAGTGGGCCAACAACTTTCAAGAAAT